ATTTTCTATCAGATTACATAGTACCGTGCCAATGCAGCGGGCATTTTTGTTGCTATGTTACTGCAATGGTCGAAGTTTGTCGAAGGCACATGTGAACGTCTTCGTCGTACTATAAAAACATTCCATTTCTGAAACGAATATTCGATGGCACATTTGTTGAGAAATATCTGACCTGAGAAACGAGTTAGTCTTCCTGGATGCTTGCTTGACCTCAGTGTCTGATACAGGAGCAATCATAGGCTCATTTTATTTTTATCACGCAGCGATTGTTCTTTTGCTAAATTGCTGGAGGTTATGTTGACGGTTGAACGCATCATCATTCACCTGTTTGTATCCAGTCGCGTTAAGAGCAGCTTCGATGAGTTCGGATATGATTCAGCGTGAATATACGAGCGTAACAAGGTCCGTTGGGAGCATGGAATCGCACATCTGAAAAATGACCTCACTCGATTACGAGCTGCCAGAATCGTATGTTTAGAACTTAGAACTAGATTACTACATGGCTTTCTACAGGACGCAGTTGTTCGTAAAAAATTTGATAGCCGGTCTTGTATTATTTGACGTGTATAAAAATTATACAGGGGCAGTTATTAAGCGATTTGTACCTAAACAATGTATTTAAACGAGTGTTGCAACTCGAAAAAGGCGATTTTTTGAAATATAATTTACATCGACCGTGCACTGCTTAAGTGCTTGCTTTACTTTATCGTCAAGCAAATTGTAACTTCGAGACGGCCCTCTTTGAAACTGTTTCTGTGAGTGCATTATTCCTGGGGCCATCATTGTGTGGAATCATTAGGAAATACAGGTGCGCTTAGCATTACCAGGAATGGCAAAATAGGACGCCTGTTCTACGGCGGCAAACACGCCTTTGTAGCAGGCGTTTGTGTAGAACTTCCGTAACAGTAGATTCTCTTGTATGGGGTACTTGATGCTGTTACAAAGTAATAAGATTGCAATTACTTCTGTTGCAATCCATGTGATTTCGTATAACCTGCCTAATCTAACCGTTGTTTTAGACTGTGAGACGTTGTACCAGAAGGTTCACAAATCAGCGTCTCTCGTGAGACCATCCCTACGTGTCACTATCGACTTCGGCTACCCACACGTTTATTGTCAACACTAGCGCTACCGTTTAGCTAGGAACCTGCGTCTACATCAGCGATTTGTACTAAGGGGATTCGTACATTAGTGGCTTCTGACCAGGTCATCCCCGCCCAAGTCATCTATATAGTTTGGACTGGAATATCATAAGATATTCCAGTCCAAACAAAGTTTGCTATGCTTAGAACGTTGATCTTGCCCGTTCCTGCTTGAAACTACCCTTTCACTAATGATTTCTCCGCCCTCGGTGCTCATGACGCTATTGTCTTCGCGTGATAAAAACTGAGCTAGGCAAAGAGCACTCGAGGAAACCGACGGCAAACCTATGCTTTCTTTAGTTCATACCGAGGATCGATCCTTTATATATATATATGTATTGCCTTGCTGTGATATGGTCGTTTTCGCGGTTTTCATCAGTTCTTTCAGAAGATGAGAACACAGTAGAATAAAATTGACTACATAACCAAAAAAGAGACTGTGGAACGTAATGTGACCTGCAGGTGTAGAGCGTCGCTTATGGCATTTGGAGGCAATGAAGTTTTATGCGTACATTTTAGGCTGAAGAGGTAAACCCTCCAAGACGCTCCAAGGCGCATAGTATAACATTATATATTCGATAGTTTTTATATGCCTTAAAATGCTCCTTGAGAATTACTCGCACACCGTTAAATTAAAATACACTTCTCCGCATTTAGCATGCGTTCGTCCTGGGCTCCGATACATCTCTTGCGTTCTGTCACCAGGGTGCGCTGGGCTGCACCCCTCGTAAACACGTGATGTCTTCGCAAGGTGCGTTATATAAAAGGTAATATCATAGAAGCTCAATAAACCCGCTTTACAATGCTGCTTACATAAAAAAAATTTGTCTATAAAATACAGTCTAACACACTTGGTTAGCCAAAGACCCGTCGGCGACGTTGACGTCTTGCCAGAAAAGAATAGAGAATGGCCCCACTGAGTTGTTGATTAGAAGGGTATCGCCTAGGATTTTAGAGGGGGAGGGGGGCTTGACGACGTTTAAGAACTTCCTCACTATTTATCGAACCTCTCTTGTCCTATTGCGGGTTTTTGGTATCAACAAATTTAGCTTGCTTCGACATATTCTTAGCAAAAATATCTATCCTTAATGTCAACTGCCAGATCACTAATTATCGAGTTCGAAATCGTGAGAGTCTCCGCGAGGAGTCCTGATGCTTGCGCTATATATATGCAGCATGAATATTAGTCGGCATATGACCATATGTAAACTGAATAAAAGGTCATATTTTTCCCACTTGGCTCGATAAATAGAATAGCTTTAAACTTTTTCACATCCAACAGGGACGGCTGTGGTTATCGAGTTGCATCGCAAGCACGACCTAATATATTTCACTAAATGGTTTCCATTTTATTTTTGTTTTAAGTTTTAGCGGGAAACGATGCCCTGAGCAGGTAATATTATTCGATAATAATAAACATTTTCTGAAAAAATCACCGTGGAAAGTTTCGTTTGTGTCGTATTTTTGACAGCATATTTTCGTTTACTCTTGCGGCCATTTTCATCATCGCCCTTTGCAAGCGATCGAATTTCGCTGCGGTTGACTCCTACTTGGGTGCACGCGCCTGCTCATGCACCCATGCGCATGCGCAGTATCATATGTACCAGAGAGTAGTCCGGATTCCCTTGGACTCTTTTGAAGTTATCTTTTGAGGCGGAACGCTGAGCTATGTTTTCGTAGCAGTGTTATTTCTAGCGGCGGCAACGACAACAGCACACTAATAACATTCCGCAGAGCGACTATCGTCGGAACTTCGACGGCTGCTTTTACCGAAAGACTAACAACTCAATGGCCAGATGTTCATTTTATGCTGAATCAGCTTGGTTTGTTTGATTTCAACATATTGTTTGCTGTACTAGTGATGGTTAGATATCACAAATGTGTCCCAATAACCGCTGTTGGTTGACAGCAGAGTTGAACGCGCGTCGACGTTCCCCTGCCGTTCCCAGCGATTACGCACAAATACTTGTCGAGTAGATGGGCAGGAGCCAGAGGAGCCCAGAGAATAGGCATAAAAAATAAAGGAATGCTGATTGTTATAAAGACGAATCGATGCTACTGTGCACTGTCGCTTCATGGAAATTCGCGGAGATAACGTGACGAGACAAAATCTAACTTTTTGTGCCCGACATGCCCCGATATGTCATCTGATAGCAGATCTCATCAACCCATACTAGCGGCATTCGCCATCCCCATTTGCCCATCTTGTGACATATGATCTGCAAGTCCATTCAGCCGATGTAACTTGAAAGAGTAGACAGATAAACCCACACACACACATGTATATATACATATATTGATGGAACACAAAGTCTAGGCACGGTTCATTGAACTGGTTTTTGTGATGGTGGCTGAAAGCTTTAGCTGAGAACAGCATAATCGGAGAAAGACTCAGTAATATCCCGGGGCTAACCACAGGAAAGGTTATTTCATGTTATCTTTTTTAGATGGGATATTGTTGACCACTCGCTGCTTCAGGTTTTCTGACGTTAAAACGTCACCTAATACCGAACACAAATATTACATTTTTGTACTACATGAAATGGAGAAAAAGAAACATTACGGGTGCAAGACACGTATAAGTTTTTCAGACAGGGTCATTATGAATGTATTATACAAGCATAATAATTAGAATTTACCAGAATATTTCAGTAAAAAGAGCCATCATGAGAACCAGTAATATAATTTACTATAACTATACTTAAGAGATAGTTAATCGTAACAGATAAAATGTTGATGCAGATGAGTATTTTGTTCATAAATGGAAATAAATATATGAAGGTTTTTTTTTTTATATTTTTCATACTGTATTTATATTATTGACTGAAAGTGATTTCCATGTGTATATTGAAATTGCGCGTAAACCCGGGCAAGCGAAAAAGGCCGGCGTTCCATTGGATGAGCCGACTATCACTGAATGTTTCACTTAATGATATTTAACTTACTGGCAATGTGTGTACTGTAGAATGCTTAAAATCACTAAGATACTTCCCTAGTAAGCGGCCACTTATACAGGAAGATTAAACTTATTTAACGTAAAGGATTCGGTTAACAATTAAAAAAAGAACATATGTCCGCTTAAACGCAGCTTGTTTTTTTGAGTTACTCGACTCTCTTGCATGTCGATTGAGTCCTCATGTTGTTCATTTTACGTCACATTTATTATATGGAAACTTGCTGATGTGAATCACGTACCTACATAGACTCTACAATGCTATCCGGTACCGAACCCAAAATAGAGCTACAATTGTTTCCAGAAACTATACGATATCACATGAAAATAAATTTAAAACGTGGCTATAGCCGTATACAGGTGATACGTATATACTGGACGTACAACACGAAGCTTTTAGGAGTAAACGATTCCGTTACTGATTCTATACTTTCAAAATGGTTTATGAGATTCAGCCGAAGAGAACCATGTTATATTATAGTTGCAAGAAGCATTATGACGCAAGCTCTGCAGGTAACCATGCTTTTTAGAGAATGAACGGTTGACGGTTGAATTCGAAAAGCAGATGACATAAGAAAATTCTCAAAACTTTACTACTCATTCGCGATATTTTACTCTGTATCAGAACTTCCGCCCTTCGACCAGTTTCTACTACTAGATGACCACGATTCAGGAGGCTGAACTGTCTAACATAAGCAAATCTCTACAAATGTGCCCTTGTCAGAAGGAAACGGCGACGCTCGCAGGATTTCAACACTCCCTTTCACAGTTGCCGTCAAATCTATGGGTCCATAAGAGGGAACGAAGACGCTGCCGAAAGCAGAATCTTTTAGTTAGCGATGGCTTAGGGCTGTCAAGCGTGATGCCTTGTCGCTTGGCTTCCTAAGCCCTCCCCGGCTGAACATCAAAACTTGCATGCTCACGGAGTCTGGGCTCAAACTAACATGGTCGCCGGCAGAGCTGCAACATAACGACTTTGGCGAGCCAGAAGCTACAAACGTACATGTCACAAAACTAAATTAAAGTAAGAACAGGAAAGACGCTTCGACGTGTGTTGCCGCTCGAGTTTCTTGCTCAAGGAACTAACTGTGTGTTTGCTGTGAATGCTCGACGACAGCTCCTGGAATGCCAATTACAATATAAGCTAGCGACATAGAGAACAGCAGCGATCCGCGTTCACTTGTGAACGCATTCGAAGACTAGAGTTGGCCGTGGTGCCGCCTCAGCTAACAACATGCGGCTGTTCGAGTTACCGAGAGCGTTCGTACTGGTCACCGTGACGACAACGTTCGTTGATGCGGGTACGGGGAAGAATGCCACATCGCAGATGCAAAGCCGTGCGGTGGATAATGAGAATGTGTCATTCAAAAAAAACTATTGGACCAAAGGGAAAGTGACATCGTGGTCGTTTCCGGTGTTGCCGACAAGTATGATGACTGTGAAACCTACGGCAGAGAAAGCTGCAGCCACCGTTAGATCCGAGCGTACTAGCTCTCCCCATGCGTTTTCTGTCGGAAGCAGCGGCGCTGCATTCGAAAAAGAATCCAACTCCGTACGCCTACCGGAAACAACTAAATACTTTGTACCCAGCTCAAATTATTACCAGGAACTGACATCGGCGATAACAAATATAGCAAACTTTGAAAATGCGCGCGTCCGCGATTACACCAACGAGTACTATACCCAGCCGGTGAAATCGATGGTGACGCCGCCAGAGAATGGACCGCGTGTTGTCGATATTGTCATGCATCACACTTACCGGACACCGCGGCGAGCCAAGCAGCCAACTAATGGGGCATCATCAGACCCCTACTACGCCCAGGAATCGACTCGAAATAGTTACTATTACGCGCCCACGACGAAAAAGAAAGATAAATTCGACAATCTAGGGGAGAAGAACCGCCGGCACGATTATGACTATGAATCGCATGAAGTCGATAGTCTTCACTCGGACCGACGGGATGACCACTGGGACCATGACTGGGATTACGACCATCACAAATATTATGACCATAAGTATCACCACAAAAAAGATTACGATTATCTTCTACCTTTGCTTTTACTAATACTCGCACCTTTGGCGGTATCCTCGTTCTTGATGCCCGTAACAGCGACACTAATGACGAACAGTATGTACGTTGCTGGGGCTCAAGGAGCCATTTACCAGGGTAGGAAAAAGCGTTCGACTGATGCACAAGAAGAACACCGAAGTTTGCTTATCGAGTTGGCCAATCTGCTCGAAGAAGCTGTTGCAAAGTTTGAAACAAAAGATACTGCTTTCAGACATCAGGCTAATAAGCAGAAGTTGAAGGCACGATAATTATAAAACGTACCTATATAGACGTTGGCAAAACTTTAGCGTGAGATTAACGGGTACAAATCGTCTCTATTAGTTATCTGAAGGCTGCTTGGATTCGCAAAAAGCAGTTTTCGAACAAAAAATTCCCAGCAGTCCAACAACGAACCCATTAAAGGTTTCAGGCCGTAAATGCCAGTCCACCAAAAAGTTTCCATTAACACGGCCTCTTCCAAATTTACTCCGATCTTCTTCTGAAATTCAGCAGATGTTTTGTTTCAATTGAAAAAAGTCAATATGCGGATCAAATTTGTGCAGTGAGGAAGTTTCTGTGTCCGTTCCTTAACCATGATGTTCACATAGCTTTCAGGCAAAGAACTCTGAAGGTGTTGATTTGATGGATTACTTCCACGACTTTGCGCATGCGTTTAACGTAATTCACAGAAGCTGACGACAGTCTGACGCCTCGTTAACTTTCCTAGCTGTTACAGATATTACGAAAACGTTAATAATACCTGAGGCTCGAGACGAACAGTCAACAGCCAGATGCCTTAAATTCGAAATTTTTCATTTGGTTAGGTGTTAGCACACGCCTCTAGCTTCCGGTACAAGTGTTATTCTTTTAACGACAATATTGCATCAGCGATGCCCCAATACATAACAACATGAGATATAAATTTTTATTACCTAACGAAATAAGACCAAACAAGGGAACCCCCGAAGCTATAGAATGATTGGACGGGACTAGTAAAGGCTAACGGACAAGCTTAGCACGGCTAAAACCGGCCAGTCGGCTAGTTTTCAGGTACTCGCTAGCAGCGATGCTTTTTCTAGCTATTCGATTGTTGGGTCACGTTTGTCAGCATACAATTAAGTAACTGCGCTTAAAGTAAGAATGCAAGTATAATAATTTAAATGAAAATAATTTAGTCATAAATGTATGTGTGCACAACGACACGATACCGTCACCACTCACGCGGGCCATACTGTTCTGTTTTCCTTGATAATGTCGTTTAGGTCTTGATATGAGCCCGTAAAACAAGCAAGGAGCGGGAAAAATTTCATCTATAAAAGTCCTCGTTCCAATCTATGTTTCACTTAGGTTGATCTATTCAATATTTGATTAGCAAGCCCTCACCTAGTATTTGGATAATCAAGAGCGCAATTCCAAAAACTTGAAATTTTTATCTGTACAGGTGCCCGCTTGCATTTGTATAATATTCCCTCGCTATATTTTAAAATACCAGATACAACCATCATGTCCTACTTTAGCTACACTATTTCCTACTAGATCGTTTAGATGCTAAAATATAGGTATTGTAGAACTCAGCTGGTTGCAATCCTTTTTTCTTCTTTCGCTTAGAAAAAGTTGTGAGAATTTGCCACGGGAGCGCATTAAATAAAACAGGTTCATTCGAAAAGTGCTGCATAATCGTGAAACAAACGTCTTCTTTTGTAACTGTTGTAGTCTGGCCAATCTACTTTTTGTCAACTCTTCATCGCTGTTGGAATTATTCTTCGTCGGCACAGTGACGGCCTCTCGAGTACAACGTAGTACCGAGCATCACGTTAATTGCTTATAGATGTGCAGGTAACACCACCTTATATCATTACGCCCAGCAGCTTGGTTGATTTCGGTTAACTGTATACTCAGGTTCCAGCCACCAGCAAAGCTCGCCAGTGTAAGATACGTACGAATGACCGCGACAAACAGTGCAGGACAGGAACATTTCAGAAACGAAACTTCGCCGAAGTCCTGTTTTGACAACTGTGACTCTCGTCTGTGTTTATCTAACGTTATCCCGCAACTGCAGCTTGTAGAAATTCAGACGTTAAACCATGACGAACGAAAGCACAAGCATTAGAGAGCACTGTGCAGAGAAATTGCTGAAGTAAAAAATCTTTATGCTTATTTATAGCTTATACTATGGAACATTTATAGTATTTTATTTAAAATAAGTGTATTAAAAATGAAGGTCGGTGGAAGCAATATATATAATACAACGAAAGGATAGTAAATCGATTGACGCTAATGAAGACAAATAACTAGAATTATTGTATCGTCGCAAAACAACCCAGTGTGTCGAAAACAATAAAACATTAATGAATTATTTGTTTAATAATTCAACCCTTTTTTTGATTAGTTATCCAATATAAAAACGCATGGTCTTCTTTAGCAATTGTACGTAGTACAAGAAAAGGGGGATGAAGAATGAAAGCACTCCGCCGCTAAATCAGGGTATCCAGTTCACATAGTAACTGAAGCCGTTCGTGTTCACCAAAATACTGGACTATTGTGTAATCCAGTTTCATGTGCTAAGTTGAACTGTAAATTACATACAGAACATGAACTACGCTTCAACCGACTCTTTGGATCTTCGATATTTTTCTTCACCAGACGTTCGAAGAACGAATATCCATCGGAATGTTAATTTCCACTGCTAACCTTATTTTAATGATATTATTTATTAATTAATATTTAATCATTCTGAGAACCTATTGAAAATACTGCTAAATTGTATATTAAATTTACCTTTGTATTAATAATACTTATGAATTATTTTATTTCTAAACATGAACTATGAACCAGACATCATCTTCATTCCGAAGAAAGGTTCGAATAGTAAATCCATATGGTAGTTGCATACAGACATTTTATATAGATTGAACACCACTATAATTAAAATACATTTTCGTATATGGGCAGTATATAATCGAACAGTTCTGGTCGAAGAGTTTATTTTAGAAATGTACATGTTCAAGTTACTAAAAGTTCAAGCACTTCGAAAAGCGCTATCAAGCTTCAGCCAGCAATCTACAGTTTAAACATAACGCTTTTTAATCGATTGGCCTTCCTGCTCCGGCACGCGGTTGCTAACATCTTAGTTGCTGAGTTAAATACATGGAGTACTTAATTACGTACAAAGTTACACATTATCTTCTGTTACACGTGTTTCCTAAGCTCAATATACAGAGTCCACGGTTTTCTAGGTTAATACTTCACCATTATATTGCTGTAGTAGGCAGCCAACTCTGTTCATAAGATCCTACAGTAGAACTGGAATGCGACTTGATGTGCCATTGTGGATTTAAACATTTCTATAGTCAGTACAGGATCATCTATTATAGTTCGTGTCGTCTAACCACAAATTAGGTAACAACATTAAATTGAAAGAAGCTGCTTTAAACACAGCTCAACAAACCCTGTTTCTGCCCTCCGTGCCCCTTGCTTACCGTATATATATATATTAGCAATCACATCTTATTGTTCTGATCCACAAATGTATTTTTTCTATGCTTTGCATTGCCAAGATACTATTTTAATTATACACGTATGGCAAATACGTTGCCTGTCATCACTATTAGGTACGGCTTTGTTACAGGGTTGAGCAGTCTGATAAGAAACCAGCAAGGCCACATATCGGTAATTCGTGTTCGGCTCAAATCGATGAATCACTTAGATATCAACCATTTTGATCTGTTCCGATGACTGGGACGGATTCTGGAAAATCAAAATGTAGACAAGTCGTCACATATATAGCACGTATAATACATACGTATGTAATACGTATGAGGTATCATAGGTTCCAATGACATCCTACAATGCTGCGCTATTATTTTCCACAAAGAAGAACAAATAATTTATCCATTTTTATATCTGTGTTATTGTATACGTACCTTCTGTTCTGTCTGCTCCTTGGCCAGTTTGAGCATCTCGATGCGAAGTTTATTAAGTATCTCGTAATTAGGTGCGTTTGATGCCGCTTTCGTCTGTAATTCGGTAATCTCATTTTGCTGTTCGCGTTTCTCTTTTGGCGACTTGAACGACCCTTGACCATATAATCTGCAAGGAACCAGTAAAATAATCATTACTGCGAGTTGTCCTTTTCGCATGACCAGCCATGTTTATACAACTGCTGATTAATCTCACGAGTTAAAGTGGCACCTGCAGTGCGAATATTTAATACGATATGCCAGTAGGATCCATATTGCATATCAGCGTACAGATTAAGATAAGCTCAATCTTGATTTTAATTCCAGTCTTCCTGTTTTCTTTATATACTTGCCGTAGAATGGCTCCCCAACTATGAAGATACGGGTGCATTTTGGCGAGCAATTGTTGAGAGGCCAGCTGTTTGCCGTCCCTTTTATTCTTGCAAGTAACGCGAGCTTCATGTCGCCCGACCGACATCCCATACTCCATCTTTTGCGACTTCTCATTCTCCTTTGAAATTTGCTGTTTGATGTCATTTTCGCTACCTGCAAAGAGGCATTGAAGAACCGAATGCGAAAAACAGCGACAGATGGCAGAGCTGTTAGTTAGCATAATCCTTTATGGAACAAAGCATCTGTTAGCTACACGTGTCTACTATGTGCTTTCCTTCGAGCATGGCTACTTACTGAGGCCAAAATTTCGCTTTAGACACTGCACGAGTATTTGAAATGGTGAAGACTGTCCAGTGGTAGTGCAAAGATAGGCAAGACGCGGATCCTCGATGGAGATGGCGTCAAAAAAAGCTAACTCCTGCTGACCTGTAGCTTCTTTCGATACTATGTTACTCGTGCTGGGTTCACCTGCTCGAGCACGCCGAGACTCCTCTTCCTTTAAGACGAGAGAATTAAACTTAGCTAAAATGCAAAACGTAGAACAAATTGGAAGCAACGAAGCTAATGGATTTATAGAGAATTTAATGCCTACGGTATAAAACGAAACATTATTAGCGTTATATTGCGTGACAGTCTTTTTCAACCATTTGTATCATAGTATAAGTGAGAAAAAAATTTGTTACTGTGACAAAATATGCATATTTACAGTAAAAAAACACTATAGATAACCACGCGCTTAGTATTTCAAGAACTAACTCAAGCTAACCTTTTCTTGCATTTCCTTCCATGACGGCACCAAAATAGACAGGGCAGCGCGCGCGGCCTCAACTTTTGCTAGTTTCTTGCTCGACCCATAGCCATCACCGTATTTAATTTCCCCTAAGAGATTTTTCATTTATGCCGTTGGGTTATTAGGATGGGCAAAACCGACGGACACTAAAAAATCCAATAATATTGCTTCGCTCGATTTCTTATATCAATGTCTTGCCCTATTAACTGATCTGTTACCAGCTCAGCTGCTGGGACAAGCAGTATTAATATTAATATGTAGAACTTACCAATTGTAAGAGTAGCGCAATATGGCCTCTCACTGCTTGGCAGTTCATGAAAAATGTATTTCGGTTGCTCCCGAAGAGAATGTTGTACAAACTCGTGGAGGATGCCAACGGGACCCTGCAACGCAAAGCAGAATGGTCAGTACACATGCACAGTAAAAAAAAAATGGGTTATCGGAAAGTTAAGCTGCAAACTGGAGAAACCGATAGTCATTGTTGATACACAAAGCCACCAGTACCAGTTTATCTATCACATCCCATATTCGATGATATATATAGCCTGACACATAAGCTCTGTCGCTGCACTTATGTTTTTCATACAGCCTGTTGTTATAACTCCTTTTTACATAGTCTATACGAATATTATATTAGTTTAGTTTAGCTTTTACCTCACTCTTATACTACCGCTATGCTTAAGGATATATGCACACTAAGAATTCAAACGCTTCTGAGCTCCAACAGCAAAAGCGTTGGATCTTCCTACTGTAACCATTTTACTGTCGTGGGGACTCCTCCCTGATTTTGTTCGTATTAATTGTTCGTTCATAGCTTTAATAGTATTTATCACCATAATAAGTGGTTTTCCTAATAAGTATATGTTCACCAAAGGACGAAAATTTTCGGATACCTTTCCGCTGGGATTAAGCACAAATTCCTTTCGTTTGGTGCGCGTTCCGGAGCCAGCCGGTAATTCGCAGGTAACTAAATGCGTAGTTGAAGGGATTAGTGGGCGGGAATGTAGTTTCTTCTCGCGTTGGAATTCACGTCGTGCGGTCCATGATCTACACAAGACAATACAAAAAAAAACAAACGACGGAAAAAAGCATGCGACAAAACAAACTACGAAATCTTATCATACATGACTACATTGTACATGAATAGGACATCCTAAAGCAGGCAATTATACAAAAAAGGCAAACTCAAAAAAAATTAAAGTTTTATTATATGTATTTATTGTAGTCTCATCGGGTCTGGCAACGGCTTATATAAACCTGAATTTTTCTACGTGTAACGTTATAAAGAAAAACACGACTCGCTCGTCTTATTCAATCTAATAAAGATTTTTTGTTCGTACTCACTTGAACTTACGGACGACGATGTCTTCGAGGTCAAAGACATTCCTCGCGTAGTCCTTCAGAGCCTGAACAGACAGACTTCGCTGGCACTCCTTAGCACTTTCAATCTCCACCTGAAAAATAAGACGTTCCGTTATACTTTGCGCAAGAAACTTAACCAGCTTACTCGCTTTCATCTCTCCATATCACGAAATCAATGGATTAGTTTAGACTTCGCTCGCTGGTTTAAGCGCATCGCCATACATTGCACAACATGTGGGAGTTAATAGAGCAAGAGCTTAACTAAGTTCTACTACTTTATGTAAGAATGCAGGCTGGCACAACTCATACGAAATACTTGTATCAGGAATATTCAAATAAAATTGACAATAAAAAATTCATTTTATGATGATTTTGAGATTACATATCAACGAAATTGGTACGAACTGAATTGTTTTTATTTGCTAGCAAGCTACAATCAGTCCTACCACCGTACGGGCTCCTAAATATGGTTCTTGTTAACCACTTTATTGTAGGTAGAGCTTTTACTTCTTCACCAGATCTGATTGTCGGTATTAGATGATCTCAAAGGTTTCATTTCAAACAAAACGTATTAGAGAGCTGAAAATTTCCAAGTACCTCACGTAAAATGTAATTACTTTCTCGACATAATGTATTGCTTTACGTTTGTAGTTTTATGGTGCAAGCATATGCAGTGTAATTCAGTTGGCTTACATGATTAAATTTGGTACCTTGTTCATGAGTTGCTGTCTGGCGCCCTCAGAAGAAGCCGGTTGAGAATTGCTGCTTGCATTGGCTGGGTCGGGAACTGAAGTTGAAGATACAGGAATGTCTTCTCCTGATGCTTTTTGTTGCTCCGATGGACATTCATCCTGCGATATACGTCGCTTTTTGGCCGGGGGAGGTCCTTTGAGTACTTTTTCCTAGCAAATCAGAACAGTAAAACACTTCAGTAGATAAAAATCTGAGACAAGCCACATCCTTGGCCCTTTACTTATGCATTATACATTAAAAAGTTTGAAGTATATGTATATATATATATATATATATATATATATGCCTAATGTTTTTGGTGCTAAAACGACCTGTCACTGTCGACCTTGAGCCTTCTGCAAAAAACTATTTATTTCTTCATATATAATATTATGTACCGCGGATACCACTAATAAGTACTACGAATGTAACCTTTGTTCGTCTATAGTGAAGACAAGGAATTGCGCTTTGAGGCACTTCGTGCTTGCGCGCTGATCCTGTGCCTAGGAAATACGGCCGAGCCCACGTGCAGACGCGTGTTTTGCGATGTAGATACACAGGCAGACCACAGTTGTGAGTGACCACTACCCAATCTTCAGGAAGAACGTCAAATATATCTTTTGTGTATCCTATGCATGAAATACAAAACAATGTTAGAACTATTACGCATGTAATTGATATTATTCACAAAACCTTTTGGAAACCAATAAAGTTAAGCCTGGATTTAATTAAAGTTTTTGTAATAACATTACAAAAACATTTAAATGTAATTTTCAACGCGGATACATTGAATTTCGTGATTCCTTTAAACGGAACTTTCGTTTCTATAAATACGCCCGCTGTTTGAATAGAACATTCATTTTCTAACAGAACGGAATAAGAGTAGACTTGCACCCTCCACCTAATTGCCACTTGTATGTCGAGTCATCTAGCATGCTGCCTATCATCTTCATTTTCATGTTCTTGTTTCACTTCCGGTAATTAAGCCAATAGGTATTAATGCAAACCAGGGACCGCGTATCTGTGCCCGGATTCGAACTCAAACTGGCACATATCTCTACATTTAATAGGCATATCTGTTACTCATTGCGCTATCATACAGACACGTCTATTATAATTAACTAGCTTCTACACACCAGAATCGAAATGTAGATATCAGTATTGTAGTTCCAAATAGATATCCAGGTATCCCGTGCTGCTATTGTTATGCATGCTAAAATGTAAATGTCTTTAACTATTGGATAGTTGTAAAAATATTGTTATTGATATATTATAAACCGCTGCTGAGACAGGTACGTTACAAGTCACATCAGAGTGGTTAATTATAATTATAGTAGTTGTAGCAGAAAGGTAGTACTAACGTTTGCAAACTGTTTTGTTAACTAGGACGACCTGTTCAGCTTTTCGTCTCTCCTCAAGACTGGCGTCCAGCATTTTGTCAACGTCTGAGTCGAGCTCATCACCGTCGCTATCACTATCCACAACCCCACTTGCTCCTGCCCCTACTCCGGCTGCCTGCTGTTTTTCGTTTGTAGCTACAGATCAGCATAAACGAAAATAACGAAAGACAATAACATACTTATTAGATATATAATTATTTTAAATGAAATCCTTTAAGCCCCCCGAATAATTCCCGCGATGGGAGGTATTTCAAATTAATCTTAAACAGAATACATGTACAAGTAGCAATGGTATTCACTAATATGGCTAACGTAACAACGCGCTACAATGATAATAAAAATGCAAACTATGCGCGATAACCATTGAATCGCAGATTTGAATTTGGCCGCGAACCCCATGTATCTGAAACCGGCACCTTGTCGCAGTAAATTATCGTGTTTAATAACATATGGCACATAAGGAAATCCCATTTTTCGGAACTAGGTAATAAGTGTAATACTAATTATCTTAGATGTGGTACGCCGTTGGTAAACTTACAATGGAAATTAAAGAGTTAAGATTATAGTCCTACCTTCAGCCTCATCGGGTGGCGGTGCTGGCTTTTCACAGGCTTCGGTGGGGAGAGGGGGCGCGTCCTCAGGCAACGGAGGTGGCGGGGCGTCCGGAAGCGGTGGAGCAATAATCTGTGCTCGGTCAAAAGGACATCCAGGTTGGGCCGGCATTGTAGCACAACCACCACCCGTTTGAACCTGGACACCTGCGTTTATTTGGAATGCTGTCACTACTGTTGAAGATTTCGACGTCTCGTCAGCACGAATCGCGCCTGAACTGTCCTGCAAATTGTAAATAGAAAGATGAGAAGAAACCCTTGTTAATGCTCGAATATGGTTGGGGTCTCTAACAAAAATGCAATTCGAAATTTTTGTAGATATTGGCTTTACTGGTTTGATTAGTTTGAGCAGCTTTCGGTTATTATTTGCACTAGCCATCACTACAGATCTGAATTAACCTGAGAAGATTCCTCAACGGCGCTGGACTCCGACACTTGGTAGACTGTCTCCGGCAATCCGTTTTCTCCAACTTTTTGTATGAAGACTGTTTTAGCATTGACTGACATCCGTCTCTGAGGCCCGTCGTCTGAACCGCCTGACGAGCTCCCACTCGAATCGGATTCCGAATCGGAAGATTCCGACGAGTAGTAGCGCGATTTTCTCGTAAACGGCTCCTCGGAGCCGGGAAGCTCCATCTCTTTAAAAGGCTACCGGTGACTCGTGCGGTTTCGCACTCTACAATGTCAAAAGAGACACGAAACACACCGTATATTTACATACAGAAGTCTATGTGCGCGTCAAAGCTATGCTTGTGTATGTGTGTACTTCATTTCACATATTTATATACATACGTACTACATATCTGTGATGTAAAGTTGTTTTTTTTCTTTATCTGATGAATGCACGTATCATTGCCAATATTACGCAGTTACTTTTCAAAGGGTTCTGAGTCCTTTTCCGACTGTCGACTTAGAGTATTTCACGCTTGTGCCTTAAAGTTTCTTTGATTACTACTACGGAAGCCGTGAGCTACGCGCACCTCGTAGCCGCGTAGTTTCCGTATTTGCCATTCCGGCATTGCTGGTATACGGTAGCATTTCTCAGGCGTCTCTTTTTTTCCGGCACCTGCTTATCAGAAAAACCAAGCGAAGCCCTTCTTCGAGGTTTTAAATTCTATGCCGAGATGTCGTCTAAGCTTTGCATCATACAATTTCAAAAAATGTTTTTATAAAATAACTAAAATCAGGGCGATTCGTTTCATTAAGGATACATTTAGATAGAGATGAGAATATGGAACGGGTAAAGATAAGTCTACCTATGTTGTTAAAAAAATAGCTTCGTTTCAAGAATCTTGACAGAAGAACAGGGCTTTCCTTATCCGTTTAACATCGTATATAAAATTATTTTTATATTTATCAACATTCTGTGTAAGCTTGCTTATATGTATCAATCAGCTTAAGCTTATTGTTATTATGCATGACAATCCTACGTTGGCAAACTGACCAACCCCAAAAAAAAACCATATTTTTCAAGTGGCTGTTCTCAAATTTTTTAAAATCCTTTCTTTGCTATACAGCCATTCATGCCGGACTCATTTTTGGTTTACAGGTACTTTCCCTTTTTGTGACTAAATGATACTTGCGTAACTGTATAGTATATTTACTTAATTGATGAATCTGAAAGTCCAAAACTGTATCGCTATATTACCGTATTCATTGATCAGCTCTCAAATTTAAATAAAAAACTTCGTGGTGCGAAAACGCACAGATCAAGTTGAAACTTCATCTGAAATCAGGCCACAGCAAGGTTATATTAGTACACCCAATGAACTAGCAAGCGAAGTAGAAAAAACATTATTTCTGACGGCTAATTGGATAAAACACTTACCCCAATTTGTCCGCTACACTAGTTCAGCTTTAGTGTCCAGCAACAAAAGGACCGTAATAAGCCGTAATAATTTTCCATGGGGCACAATATTATCGGTAATCTTATTGTTTTGTCTGTAGAATAGCTGAACTGTCGGCTAAACTCATTTTTGTTGAAACATTTACGCGAGGTTTGTTTTGGTGAAGGATCGCCATCGTTTCTCGGCAGTGCGATTTTATCGACGACTGTGTACACTCTTTCCCCGACACAATTAGAATTGTTGCGCCACTAAAACACTCGCCCCCTCACAGCATCGTGATAGCCATCTTGTAAGTCTAATAAGGCTCGCCAAAATAAACACCGTTTCTTCATTGGTCAGCAAAACAGGTGTTAATTTTTCGTAAGTCCTGTTAACTGCTCTATTAATCAAAATCGTTCAACATACCCGTCCTCTTATTTACCATTTATGAGTCAGCTAAATTTGGTGCTCAAGGCCGGACATTTTAAACTGTCGGTCGGTCAAGTTGAATCTGCCCGCCATCGGTCTTTCACTGTCAGCGGTCGACCAGAGTCGCCATCTTGCTATTACCGCCTTAGAAAATCCGCGCACGTTGTGCTACTAGAACACGAGTTTTCGCGCAGAGCTGTAGAGGTACACAGTACGCAATCTGTATAGCTTTTGCGCCCGGAGTTTTTACTGGTTTTGTTCGCTTTGACAACGTTGAAGCAGTAAACTAAACACAAGATGATGTCCAGAGCAGTTGTCAGTTGTGGCCGGTTTATGGCCCTGCAGGCGCGCTTCGGGGTTGTCAACGGAATGGCTCGTTCTGTAGCGCCTCGTGAGATCCGGCCTTCCATGATAGCGTTCTATTCGACAAAAACCAAGGGTAAGCCTACGAGTAAGATGAAAAAATGTTGCTTTGCGTTTGAGAGGATTAAAACCAACCGGAAACATTCGGCATTTAGCCAAGCGGCCAATTGTCGATTTTGCGTGAATTGTTTTTCTAATTTAATGCCGAATGTTGATTCACAGGTCGGGGCCTAACAGCTAGAGGATACACACTGAACACACGCCGGTTCGCCGGCATCGTGTTATGCGCGATGAAACGCGCTTGTCTAATATAAGTCATGAACTTCTGTTTTATTAGACAGGCTGTTTAGTCCTTGCATACGTTGAATTTGCATCATTGTGGATGTAGATACCAGCTAGTATATGCTGGGGGATGTGCTGCGGCATGAATTGCATGAGATTTGCCGACACTACAAGCAGTAGTAGACTTTTATGATCTGCTTTTCAAGGTTCGAACTACGAGTAGACATACTTCGTTTGATGCTGGGGGCCAGCCGTCCGAAATAACCTTTAACGACAGTACTGGACTTAAGCTAGGAACATTTTTATTTATATGATGCTCTACGAGCTTAGGCTATATTAATTTTTAATTTATTTTTTGATGCTATTGCCCATTGCTTTAAGCTTCAACAAAATGTCATTTTCTTTCAAGGTATTGAAATTAGGTAGTACTTGTTTTTTTTTTTAACTTTTTGTAAATCCAACTCCTTTAGTTTACATCCTTTGTAACATCCGTTCTGTAGGCGACCAAGAGCTATCCAGTTTTCTCTCGGACGAAATTATTGCTGAGAGGAAAGCTCGCAAACACGACGCGATGCCAAAGGTTGAAGGATTCGATATGAAAACCAAGGGGTCCGAAGTTACGCTTGTCCGAAAATTCAACGATGAAATGATCACAGTTGCGCTGAACGTTAACCACACCGTCGATGCGGAAGATGTAAGTTCCACTCAAAGTGGTGAGGCTACTGAGTCGGGTGAGATGCTCAGTAAGCCCAATTTTGATGTCACGATCGAGAAGGCCGGACAGAAATTGGTCCTTTCATGTGCCTACGCTTCCGACCCTTCAGCAGATCAAGACGGATATGGTAAGTGTTACTTACCTTGACCTATGGAGTTTTTTTTTTTTAAGTAAGAATAGGTTTTCTAAATTAAGGTTTGATATAATAATATATTTGTGCCAAAATTCGACTAATACAGCAAGAGTGACATCGACAACATCAGTTATTTACATTCAGATTATGCACAAATATTTATTGATGTTGGCATTTTGTCCATTGTTAATATTTCTCATGAAACTTGTTACAGAAGATTTGTTCCAGATCGTAGAGTTCTCAATGCACACCGGTGAAGAGTTACAGGATAGCGACTACTCGGTTTCGGGCGACATCATGGATGGCCATCTCTATGATTTACTGATGAACCTTTTAGAAGAGCGCGGCGTCACAAACGAATTTGCCGAGCAGCTCATCGATTTGAGTACGTCGTACGAACACGGACTGTATATCAATTTGCTTGAAAAACTTAGGGACTTTGTGTCAAAGTAAACACCGTTAGAAAACAGCATTCATAGACAACCAAAAAATGAATGAAACCATCACTAGCAATAATAGCGGGTTGCGAATCCGGCGTAAAAAGAAGATAACTTGGTTTAACTGACAACAAAGAACTGCTTCATGGTATTCGTATTTAGCTTTTTTCATTTACCCTATTTTTGAACTAACTCTTTAATAAGCGCTCTTTCTGCGCTAGTGTTAGAAAGAAAAGGTGGTTGTTGAATGGGTCTGGTGCTTGTATTTTCTCCAGCGAGTTTATAGTTCGATTGCCACTATTGAACATCATCGGAATCTGGCTTTGGGGATCATTTTATACGTGGCTGTAATCAATTACAAAATACAAAGAAGGCTCAGTGGCGTCGGGCTGTTATATGTGGCTAATCTTAGAATTACTTGAGGAAATTGCAAACCTTTTTTTAATTTATACACTTTCATTTTTACCGGAATGTCGCTATTATAATATTGATATAAGTATAGTATATGTGAAAATACGTTAATCATCATATCCATAACGTTCCATAGCAGTGCTAACATGTTCAACATCGAACGAATAGGATTGAATGAAAGTTTACTGTTTTGTTGCTAAGGCAACGTGAGATAAAGATGTAAAAATGAAAAGGAAGAAATATTTGCGTATTAAACTATACCTATATTTAAAACGAGTTGGTGTTTTCTTTCACTAATAAAAGCTATGTGGTGGGTATGTGGTCCATTGCAAAGACGATTCTGTTTGTAGGAAGTCGTATTTATAGCTGAATAAAATAATATAATCGTTAGTCTCAAATCTCCTGTCCCTTCTAAAAAATTATAGCCGACTGAGGTCAGGAGAACTTCATGATGTTTGATTCAAGTTGTTCAGGAATAGGAAATATGCTGGTGAAAGCCTAAAATTGTTTCGTTGTTTTTGCCTTTGTAATCTGCAAAGCCAAGCTTTCTAAAAGCATGTTACAACTTTACTTTTGGAAAAAAAATCACAGTTTGTGAAATGTGGGTTCGTTTTCAGGCCCAAATGATGCCAATGTGTATGTATAGGTTACTATAGGTATAGATTGTGTGAAATATTTTCACCAAGCAACAGAACTGCAATAGATTTAGCAGTAGACACATTAGTCGTATTATTGGATTGTCGAAAGGCGATATTAAATGAGCTCAATTTAACAGATGTGAGACACTTCGTAAGCCGTTTGTTCGTGCTTAGATACTTACATTATCTAGAATGAACTCAGCAAACGCAGAGGCTTACTTATATCAGGTACATGTTGAACGATGAATATAGCGTAAAAATATTTTTTTTTGACATAGAAGATAACAAAATGATCTCAACCGCGGTTGAGTTCTGTTGACATATTGGTGTTGAGAGACTTCGGTTTTGCCAAAACATTGATGGTAGGATTTGTTAATAATACAGCGAGAAGAACAAGAAACAGTAAATAATATAAGTCAATCAAGGGCATATTATATCCCCGATTGATTTATATTAGCTTCAGTAACTTGGTTTTTCAACCAAGAACAGTAAACGATCACTAATTTTGGTATTCGGAATAACAACGAAATAAAAGTAACATCTCATTATATACGGCAAACGATCTCTACTTTCAGGGAATAATCGATATTTCGAGTGTTCTTGAGTAAAGCGCTGAAGTGACAAAGCCCTGGTTACCGTGTTTTGGTGGCTGGTAAAATAGTTATTATTGATTGACCAAGGATTATCAACCAATACCTTGAAGTCGACCTTTGTCCTGGCAGTTTCATATATAGATCATCTGCCGAAATTTTACCTAGGCTTCAATGAGGTTTCAAGAATTTCATATGTGATTGATTTTTAATAGTAATAACAATAATATGAAAGATAATAGCCTTAAATGTCTCGCACCGTTATGCTAGTGTACAACGATAACATAAACTGTTACTAGCTGCTATTACGATGAGACGTTTATAAAATGACGTTGTAAACTAGATTCACTTTAATATACAATCTAATGAATTTGTGCACCTTAGTTGTTCATGAATTTCCACCGACATATCATCACGGTAAAACGGAAAAGGAGTAAATCAAATCGAATGAATAATGCTGAATAGAATATACATTTTAAAAATAACATCAGGGGTCCTGTATATTTCATACATACTGGTGTAAATTTATTTTTTACACATTAATTTCGAAGAGATAGGAACGTTAATCTTATGTTTTAAAATACCTATGTCTTTTGAAAAGCGTATTTCCATTGACTTGGGTACTTGCCGAAATTGTCGGTACTCAGTACTTCTGTGTATTGAATTACGTTATAAGTTACGCAAAGTATAAGTTGCACTGAGATCTGGGCAGCATAGCAAATGTTTTTCTATTAGACAACATTTTGACTTTTTCTCTGTTTTTCTTGACCATATATCACGAATTCTTAAGAAACACAATGTACTGCCGATGCTGTACTGTATTTTTAAATGTCATCGTTATCGGCACCTGTTAGTAGTTGATCTACTGCATATTAACACACTGCGACGCAACCATTTCTATTGCGTGCACTGCCTATCTGCACCCCAACGGACCTGGCTCAACCCTGTCTGCCGTCAACCGGCGCTGATACGTCCGATAGCGGGGATCGTTTCAACTATCTTAAGAGCTGAAGCGCACAGAGGCACGTGTCTGGATAGTGCTCAGTTTATAACCATACCGCGGGATTAATGCTTGGCCCCTTAACAACAATACAGGTAGCGTGAAATGCGAGCCAACGGCAGATGCGGCCGAAAAATGGCGCGACATGATGGTACCGTAGCCTGGCGCGAGCTCCTATTCGTCTAAAACTTCTTACCGTTAGAAGGTCAATAACCCGAAAGCGTTCGATGCTTGCGATGCGATGACGGTCGCCATACCATGAAATGAATAGTGCTACTGGAAAACGCCGGTTTGTTCTATTAAATAGATTTTTTCAACTACGCTCAGCTTCTTTTTAACGATTGCTGCCGCACTTTAAAAACCTTGATTATTACTATTATGGACACTTAATTAAATAGGTTTTTCATCAACTAACAGATTTAAAAAAAATTATAAACTTTAAAAGATGTAACAAAACAAAAGCACCATAGATCTATCAAACTTTAAGCTATGAGCGATTTTTTTGCTTGGTATTCTTTGGTAATTTATTGTATTCCAATGCTTTTGTTCGTGTATTTGGATCGGATTATCATAGATCTAAAGAAAATCTGCGTTCTAAAAATATCATCTCAAAAAAACCGCATTCGTACCTAATTAAACACATTGGAAATATATTTTAATCGATAAGGGTTTGTTGTTTTGTTATTTTATTTTGTCAGACATGTAATGTTTTAGACAGTTCTCAGCTCTCAGCATCTTGTGGAAAGTTGGTCCCAAAATTTAGTGACTTCAGCGCTCTATAAACAAAATAAAGCTTCTGTATTTTTCGGACAAAACTCCCCTCAATTTTCTTCCATCGTGTGTATTTCTGTGTGTATGCCTATTCTCTGTTCTTTGTGTGCTGCAGTTTTCGTTATTGTTTAACTACCATTATTCATCGTTGGACACCATCGTCATTTTACTTTTTTTTAGTCTCTGGAGTTTTTTGGCATTTTTCTTTTGCTACGACTTTTCACACCGTTTTCATTGTTTCCAGCTTTTGTTTTTCATTTTATCAACCACATCTGTAATAGTATTCTTATAATATTTATTTCGCCATCAGCATCGCCGCATCTCCATCATCTCTTCATCGTTCTATAGTTGTGACGTTATGTTATTACTATAATTTTTTAATATTAGTTATTTTCTAGATTACCATTTCTTTCGTCTCGTCAAAACTAACTCCTCTGTAAAACAGGGAAAATATCACAGAGTTGCTCGTCTTAGTCATCTCATCTTCGCATCTTTTTTCCATCAATATTACCTCTATATTTTTGTTATTCAAGTTCTTTCGTTCAAGTAATATAAGTGTACAGTTGTAGTGGTTTATGTGCATTTGTTTACTCGTTCTGCCACCAGCAGAAAAACTGCCAAGAAAAGTGCCATGGCAGTTTTCCACCGACTGCCATTATATTTCTGGATTTCTGTTTTCTCACCAACTCATGTATTCTATCGTCAACAGGTTTCTTTTCACGTATTAGTACATAACTATTTTCTTTTCCGCCATTATACTTCTGCTTGCTGCTGTTGAGTAAACCTTTTCCGACGTTTCATTTCTTTGACCTTACCATGTTCCATATTTTCACATTTCTTTATACTCTGCTCATGCCGTTATCCTCTTTATGAAATTATAATTGTATACTGCTTCAAGATAGATGTGTGCTTTTTGCTGCTGCTATAGTAATTACCGTAGTAGTTGTCCTGCATATATAACTAGTAGTTTGACAATGATGTTCGGCTGTTTTGTTTGCTGATGTTTATCATTTTCTTCACCCCGAGAAAAAAATCGCGCGCATTTCGTCGTCTATTCAATTAATTTGTCGTTGTCATCAGTAAACGTTGGGCTTCCTCACAAGAACGGCCAAAGGCCTCGGTGACATGATGCTTGCATTGCTACTTTTTAAAGTTGAGTTGATTCATCTTAATCTAGTTTTTTTTTTTTTTGCTTAATAACTTCGAAGTAAACTTTCTTCAAAAAGTTGTCCATCAGTAGATCATAGTCATTCTAGATTCGGTCTCGTTCTTCTGTTTTATATCCTGTTCGCCGTTCTTTCAAGGTCATACTTTTTTTTATCGTAACGTCTGTATTGTTCTTCTTCACGACGTATATATATATATTGTAAGGGAGAAATGGGGTCTTCGTTGTGCAAGCTTACTTTCTTTAAAGCCAGCTCGACGTAGACCCGGACGTTGTGTTTGGAAGATGGTGCCAGCACAGTAGCTAGCTTATAACCGCACCATCATCAGATCGCGATTTCTTTTTAGCTCTTAGCATGCTTAGCTCCTCGTGATCCTACTCTTCTTACAAGGTTTCCTGCTGTCATATTTCCTCAAGTTTTCTCTTCGTTGTCACACTTCCAACAGATTTATTCAGTGTCTTCACATTTCTAGCTTATTAATTATCTTCTTCGCTTCCTCCTCCACTTTGTCTTTTTTCTACCTTTTTTACAGTTGTGTTCGTCATCGCCGTCTTCTAGTTGAATCGAGATCTTTAACAACAGCAACGGATGCAACACCGCTGCTGACGAGCAAGGGAAAGCCGGCCGTGAAGCGACAACGCACCGGGGATTAAATCAGTGACGCGTGACACACGCAGAAGACAGATATTGAGGGGCGTTCACAACGAAGATAGTCCCACGTACCTGGCTCCTGGTCTGAACGCGATCCACCCGGTTCCACCGCCGCCGATGCGATCGTCGCCGCTACGAACACCCGTCTTTGCCAGATGTGTCTCCATCGTTGTTAACGATTCGTCCCGGCGATTCCTCCCGCATGCCTGTCATCGAGTCGGTACGTTGTGCTTGTTATATTATCATAATACTAGTATTATTATTATTATTATGAATAGTAGTAGAGTTTTATCTTACCCTTCAATGTCGTCTGCTATTTTTACATTTATAAATAATAGGTAACCTTGTTATCGAATTTTTTGTTGTAGTGTTACATGCACGCCTTCATATAATAATTACAGCTGGTCGCTACTATTTTGGTCGGATGTTGGTCAGCCAGCCGCGTTTGTTGTTGTTGATTTTTATATTCGCGCCTATTAGTGATATGATTATGTATTTGCGGGCTCAAGTGTGTTTTCGCCGGAATAGTCGCCGCTATTCAGGGGACAGCGAACGCAAAACGCAGACGGCTTTGCCACTTATTTGAAGCGCTACAACCCTGCTGTTTCTGCGCTGCTATTGGTTGCGAAACCAGCAGTAGCAAAAAGAAGCCGGCTAACAACGATGAACTGCAGTCATTATTTCGCCCAATGTTACATTGCATCGTTCATTACAGGCATATAGATAGGCAGCAGGCCGAAACCGGTACCAGGGGCCAATCCATGGGCTAGGGATAGGACGGCTTGAAGCTTCATCCTCCACCAGATTCCGTCCTCTCACCATTGACTACAACCGCTGCAGCTATAAAGCAGCCATCATTTCATCAGGCGTTTGATTTCTCGGTGTTTTGCTCATGCCGACGGCGTTTAGGCTCAAACCGACGATATCCAGCAGCCACTCCTGTTCAAGAGATGAGCCTTCAAGCAGCCTGTAACTAGACATGCACCCGATGTTGTTAGCTGGTTAATGCCCGGCTTTCTGCTGCCGCTCATGCGGCAGTGGCGACAGCAGCAGCAGCCAAAAGTGGCTTGGCTCCCTTGTTTGGATGCTTCGGCATGGCTCGTCTCGCCGGCTGGCTGCTGTTTGGCCTAATCTGACCCCAGACTAGGGATTTCATAACATCATTTGCACCGCCATTTCACTAGCTCGAATGCACCGAAACATGGCGTTGGCTGACTTTTATGCCACGATGGACATATTTAGGCCCGGCCAACATAGTTCTGCCGTTTCGGAATTATCATCATCACAGTCATTAGGCCTGATCGACACATAGTGAAGAACCCACAAACGATCATTCGCTCATTGCTTCCATACACACACACGGAACAGACGCGTAATATAAACCAAAACTACTCATGGTTACGCACAAGCGAGCACGCTAACAAGCACATATTGTAATAAAAGAAGCATTCATAGATATAGTAGTCACTAGTAACGGAAAAGTTGCACAAGAACAAAAAACATATTAAGCTTCTCGCACATCGCGCCATACTTAGACTAATGTTCATATGAAAATTCACCATTGTATTTGCCAAGTTGTGCATTACAGCGATCGTACTGAGCTTTACAAAAAAACCATCGATACAGCAATTATAATAATCGCTAAGCGACTTACGAGTCCGTCGAGTGAATGAAGTACTCTCCGCGCTTGATGCTGTCTTCTTACTGATGATGATTATATTGGAGGTAAAGGACGTAGGTCGACTGGATGTCGAGTTAGGTAATTTAAGGTTGAGTACATACTACTGCAAAAAGAATACATGTATTCGTGGCTGCTAGGTTGAGTTTGTCATCGTTTTCTAATTTCTTCTGTCTTCTTTTATTCTGCATGATCGTCTTGAACTTGTTTCGCTGTCGCTTCCTCTTCTCCAGGGTTATCCGCTTTCGTCTTTTTCCACAAACTATACGGGCTACTATACCAGGGGGCGCAATGCCTAGCCATAAACCGCTCCATTTTGTTGCTTTGGTAGAAGTATATCATCATCACCATGATGCATGCAACATCGAAAACATAAATTCTCAGCTCACCTCCACTGCCGCATCCACTCGACTAGCTGTAGCAGCTTGCCTACAACCCAATCATCTAACTATGTTTAGTTGCAGTATTAATCGAAAAGCAGCGTATAGACTGGCAGGCTTACGCGTCAGGTATAGTCGGCGTCAAATTTGCGCAGAATGCCGGCTGCCGTGAATCAGAGTTAGCATACAGCGTCACCTCGGGTCTTCTCTCCAGCCACCGGCGTCACTATTCTTCGGTTATCGTTGGTTTTTTTTGTTGTCGCACATAAGACGAACGCCAAACAACGCCGAGGGACAGAGCACGCCGGTGAAAGCCGATGGGGGTCACAGCCAGTCAGTGATGGCTTGCCGGACAGCAGCAGCCGCGTGGCCCGCATTAGGCCTAGCGGGTGCTGCCGGTAAACCTTCGCCGGGCTGGCCGAAACCCCCCCCCAGCTGGGGTTCGGTCTAGACGACTGAGACAGTGCAGTCCCGGGAGATGTGACCAGTCTGATGGCAACGGTAGCAGGAACGGCCCTCCGACGCCGTTGGGCAGTCTCGAGCCATGTGGCCTTCCTTACCACAGTTGTAGCATCCTCGGCTGCCTCCGGATCCGCCGAAGCGCTGGCCGCCACCGGACCTGTGGCCACCGTCAAAGCCACGGCCTCCACCGTAGCCTCCGCTACGGCCTCCGCCATATCCGCCTCCCATGGCAACGTCGGGGCATTCGCGGGCGAAGTGGCCTGTCTTGTGGCAACGATAGCATTCGCTAGACGACATGGTGAATTAGGTTAGGTTTAACGGATTGGTCTGAGAAGAAAAACGAACTTTTTCGGACACTAGAGCAGCGATCGGAGTATACTAGTTGGACACTGCGTGGTCGAAGACGGCGAACGACTTACTTATACGACAGCACACAACGCGTGGTCCGAACAGACTGCAAGCTGGAAGCGAAGAGAGATGGTTGAACGTGGCTCCAGAACGAGAGCTGATTGACCCGATGTGAGGGCGCTGCTGATAGGGTTGGTCGTCCTCACCGATGGGCGCCGCTGAGAGGCGCCAAGATTTGAATCATCATCGCATTGATTTACTCAAGCAGCAGTATTAGCTGAGCGTGCTTGGAGGGCCGCGGGGCAAGGATGCTCCGTAGATGCTAACACTTCTCTCGGACAAACGCACACACTACTGTAAAAACCGGCTTGTTTACTCTCAGCATCTCTCAAAGCTGATTAGGGGCTTAGAAACACATGGCGCCTGTCTAGGGAACACATGTTCACTTCTAAATGATTCAAAATGATTACCTTTAAAGCTTTGTGGAATAAGTATCCGAAAATGGTATGGACCGAAGCGGCATAATGATTTTTCGATTCATACGAAAATTAAGCGTAAATTATCTTTCAGTGTGTTATAACAATACACTACAGTGTAGTATGATGGAACAGATAGCTAACATATCTGAATAAAGGAATAAAGTTATGAGTAAATAAAAATCGGAACGCAGATTGCCCTACTTTTTTTTTGTATGCTAAAATATGTAGCGGACTTTTTGATCAAAATTCCGAGAACTACTACAAGTATAATCCAAGGAAGTTAAATCTAATATAATACTTAGCTTCAGGCTGACAATACTTTAAACAAAAATTCAAACTTTTCCGACTAAATTATGTTTAAATCTAGCAAAAAATGCCATTGTAGACGTATGCGATTGAAAAGACACTTTTGATAAGCAGATACACTTGTACTAGCGTACTTTTCACTCGTGAATATTAATTACGAACAGTATTGGATCATTTGATTATTTTTAAATAGAATCAGTGGAGGAGCTGATCATGGGTATAGCACTACTTACACAAAATGCTATCATGATTTGAACAACAAACACCACCTTTTTTTTATGTAAGTGTATTTAGTTAGCAAAGCTAGAAGATCTTTACTTTGGGAAAGATCGAACACTTATTTTCATTTTTTGCACCATTTTCAACTTACTTTGATTTAGATCATCCAAATATTTTATAGTATTCTCTGAAGGTTTCCAGAATATCATTATCTTGAGCTATAATGTAATTTTTAACTAGCAGAAACCTTAAATGCTATATATACATAACTGTTAAACATTTTTTAGTTTTAAAATAAGATTTTTAATATATGAGTCTTTGTAACTCTACATTTTTAAATGACCAGCAATAAGTACATGACCAAATTACATAATATCTCAACAATCAACCATATATTGCAAATGCAGTGACGCAAAGTATCCAGAAGCTATCAAATACTACACCAGTGTCTTTATTTCTTCTGAAGCCAATGCCTATTTTTCAATTGAATTTTCGCCTTTTTTCAAAGAGTCGGAACTCGATCCTTCGACTAAATCGGTCGACAGAAATCTTCGAAAGTACTCATCCCACCTCCACGGATCTCGAAGCCGTTTGAGCACTTACCAAAAAGAAAAAAATAGTCATTCATTCTTGCACAGAGCTCCCACCATAGTTCAGAATACGCAGATGTTTCACCTTCTGGTATCAAGCATACAGCCTGTTGTAATAGGCCTCAAGCAAAGGCGGGGCTTAAATCTCGAGAGATTTGAAGTCGTTCGGCTGCACACAGGATCTTTGCCCGAGAAGTGAGAGCTCATCAAGCGTAACACTGAGCTTAATTCTAACGACGGGTGTCTCCCACTAGCTGGTTTGATTAATGTCAAACAATATATAAGACAGCTTAATTTCAACTGTTCTTCTCCAACTAATAAACATCAAATTTATCTAGCACTTTTGTGATAATCAAAATAAATGATAGTAATAGTTATGATTTTGATTATTAGAACCAACAACATATTTGACTATCTGTTTTGCGTCCTCCCTCTGGAGCGTTCTGAATCATATAAATTTGTACATAAAATTATAAATAGTGGTCCACTGAAGTATTTGAGCATTTTATTTTTTCAGGAATAGTGTGGTATTTGAATATGCTGAAGCCAAAAATAGCTAATAAAAAAAAATACATATTTCGTGAACAAGCAATCATTTGTTGCAATCACACAATCATTACTACACATTGTCCTATTGTGTACAAAATTACGTCGACAATAATGCTTAGTCAAGGTGAACCACGAAATTAACAAATACTACTTTTAGAGCGTTCTAGAAATATTTACTCATTGACCAAGCTAAGCTGAAGCTAACTTGGTATGATGCAATCATATATTCAAGTGCCACGGATACAAACGCAAAAGCGTCATACAAACAAGTGATCAAGCTAATTACACACAACCTGAATCGTAGCAGAAAAAGGAAAGTAAAAGGACAAAAAAATTAGAATAGTATGAGCTGAAATGTATAGTAGTTCACACTGAGGCTTTGTGACAAAGCTAAATCATCACACCAGCTTGTCAAAGAAGGGAACATATGGGCCACTGATTTCAACACTGCAGCAAGAAAAATTTCAGTGCTCTAGCTGTTACATAATATATATATATATATATATATATATATATATATATATATATTACGTTCGCATTTAATCAAGCTATCTCGACTAGTTGACTTGTGCCAAATTTCTTTGGGAAAACTTTGGGATGATCAAAAGTTTTGCAATTATGCGCAAAAACAGGTCTGAGGCTCTCATTAAGAAAAAAAAGCCCTTAGGCCTGTTTTTGGGAAGAATAGCAAGTTTCGACAGCTTATTTTGCTTTCTGACATTTAAGTTTTTTACGCAGTATTAGTATGCAATGATTGCCTATTTGAAAAATATACGCGTATTTTCAATCGATTATCCTCTGTTTTATTATTTGGCGAATACACATATATCGGTTTCGTCAAAGTAGTACTAATTGGCTCTTCTTCAAAAAGAAAATTTATTATTATGAAAGAACTAATTATATGCCTTAATATGCATTAAATAGCTAGAACTAATATAGTGAATATTTTTTTTCTATTTCAATTTTGCTTTAATTTTTTTTAAATTTCAATTTGTATTTCATGAATTTTTTTATATTTTTCCAGGTATTCAACGTATTTCAATCTACAGTTGCGAAATTACATGTTGATGGTCCAAGTTTGAGCGTGCGACATATGGCCTTGTCCAGCCTTGATTCCAGCTCAGAAACTTGATGTTAATAAGTACACTTCAATTTAAATCGTGTATGTTATGCTTTTAATACAAGATCTTTTTATTGAAGAGTACAGCCTCGGTAAATCTTATAAGCCTAAACATCTATTCTGCTAGTAAAACCACCTTTGTAGGTTAAGGCAGTAGCAACCAACTGAACCCAGCGTCCGTAAAATATCCTTACCATAATGTTATATACAAAGCATTGGAAGTGGTAATGATAATCCGTCTTCATTTTGTATCCCTACTAAGTCCTTCTACTGTTTTCAGTCTTCGAGCCAACGAAGTCGACAGATCCCTAGTATGTGGCGTTACGTTCTGTCGATTTGGATAGGTGATACGTTATTGTAAGAGAACAAAGTCTCCGTCTCGTAACAAGTTTGCGAACAGCTTCTGCCTGTCCTTTGACAAGGTATCCGCCAGCTCGCAAAACATGTATTCAGTTCAAACAGAATGCGTTCATCCGAACCGGTGACTCCTCGTTGCTGTAGATCTTAACCACGGCAGCAGCAGCGGCAGCGACAGCAGCGCCGCTAGTGACGGCAGGCATAACGGCCATGTGAGAACACACTGTGCGATCGACTCTAGGAGAGCGAACAAATACTACTTGCTACCCTCTCTTCTTCTACGCTCAAGAACTTCTCTGTTAATGGCGCTGTTTTTGCCGCTTCTAGAGCTTGAGGCTGTTTCGCCTTTTCTATGTTACTCTGTCCGCACATTAGCGTATGGGCCGTTGTTTCCGATGTAGCGGCTTCATTGTGGACTACTGATTTTGTGGAAGGGAAAAACTTTTCCTTTCGCTCATTGTTTCAGCAATAGATCTGATTTGTATCGAGTAGTCGTCGCGGTCAGTCGTACGCGACTTCGTTCGCGGGCAGGATCCGGATAATGTTATTTTGAGTGTTTCCGTTTAGTGATCGCGGTAGAATCAGAACGAAGAAAAAGAGCTGATAAGAAATTTACTAGCTTATAAATTAGATTTATTCGCAGCTCTATGTAATACAAATAGGATAAAGATCTCTTCCAGGTTGCTGTTTTGGGTAGCGGCCGATTCCCTAAGTGACAATTTTCCGCGCTAATACAAACAAATTTTTGAAGAGCCAAGAAAATTAGTTGTTGGACGGTAACTGAATCTCATCTCTGTGTCCTTCCGCCTGTGCGCCGATGCCAAGTAAACGTTCTCTCTTGCTGCTATCACCACTACTGGCATGACATTATTCAGATGATTAGCCTAGCCCTGTAACGTTTGGCGGGCACTTCGCTCCCGTCGAAGCCGTCGAAGCTTATCGGATGTTTCAACTAGTAAAGCCATTTGATAGAACGCTGCTTGGCGGACGATACCGAATTCGATGAAAAGTTAGAACTGCAGTCTAAGCTTTTTTCTTCTTTGTTGTTAAACACTGCCTTTGGATAAAATAAATTATTGCAAGAAAAGCTGTCGCAGACACGTAGCTCATCTGAACAACCGCTTCCGAGACCCCTGGCTGATATGTGCTCGAAATCAGGTATATCTGCCAAAGCGACTTTTTATATCACTAAATCTGCTTGGCGTCATAATACTTTCTTGTGTTCGAGAGTGAAACCAATTTTAAACCTTACTTACTAATTTTCTGATCGATTCGAGCTCTCATCAAAAGCAAATGAGAACATCGCTATAGGTCTACGTCAGGTGGTGTTCTAATACTCTCTCCGATCATAATGACAGATCTGCCTGCGGATAGATCAGATTCGAGGACAAAGAGGCCATATCTATTGTGATACTGTCAATACACTAATGAATATGTTCACAGTACCCACACAAGGCCCAAAAACAGCAATACTATGCTTGCGTAGTAAACGTATTAAGATTGAGGAAACCAAAGGTTAATGAACTGTTGAAGCAAACGAAA